AACTTCTTTTTCAAATTAACCTTTTCCCCCCTCCAACTTTATAAAAACCTCAACCCTGCATCTTCCCTCGGTTTTAACAAGAATATTAATTCCGATCAACTTTAATTATATCAAGGATTAAAGCTCTACTACTAGAACTAAAAATGAAACAGGTTCGAAGGGATTTTACCTTTTGGGGTTTTCCTGGGGACTCGGATATATATGCAACAAAAGAAGAAATTATTACAAATGAACAACAATGGAGCAAGCTAGCGAGGTATCCACCAAACAAAGAATGATAATGTTGGGTTTCTTGTCCCAATGACAGACAAACTCAAGTGGTAATCCCATAAGCACCTCTTTGGCAGCTGAAAAAACAGAACATAAAATGAATATAACTGGGGCGTCATCGTCATGGGATTCTGACTCAACTCGAATCCTGCCATTTGAACTTTGGCATATGTTTTTTTGGAACCCACTCAAGAAACAAAATGGTACCAGGCAGTTCCCCGTAGGACTGCTTTGCCATTGGCCAATTCCACCACCATCCTAATTTCACTTTTCCTATGGAGCAATACGTTCAAACACACACTCGAGTTGTCCCAGCTACCATGTCATGAAGTGCCATCAAACACTGCATTTGTTTTTACAGGCCAACTTTGGCATTATCCATGCTCGCCCCCCAGTAGTTTTTCTTTTAAGGATTTCGATATTGTAACAATTTATTATAAGAAAACCCTTCCTAATGCAGTTTATTACATGCTTAATGTTAAGAATATTTGAAACATTAATCTAAAATATTCTCAATATTATTGTGAAAAACCACCGAAATAATGTTACACGTAATGATTATAAAGGTATATATTGGGATTAAACACCGCCTCGTATTCATACACTCGTATATAAATAAAATAATAAACGAACTCGATCCCCTTGACGTCGATGACAAAGCTAATGAAAACGAGACGCTTGTTTTGCTGCGACGTGTTATTTTTTTTGTGGAATTTGAATTTTGAATGATATGACGGAAAAGCAATCCATGCATGCATATATATATATATGTTTTACTTTAGTTTTGAAGTCGAAAGAGTTAAGCCTTTTATTTAATTAATCCACCGAAATCCACCCTATCCCTTTCTACTTGTTCTAAAGGCATTGCCTCCTTATATATATTTGAATAAGTGGGAAGTTTTGACTTTCACTTCCATGCATGGACATATGCAATATTTTATGTTAGGAGGATAAACTTGAACATATAAAATTTTAGGCACGAAAATAAATTTTTAACAGAAAATATACAAATAAAATCTAAAATATATGATCATTTTAAATTTTTAAGGGAAACGGCCGTCCCTACCTGTCCCATCCAGGTCCATCCATGTTTCCATGCTTGTTTCAATGAAGTATCTCGATAACTTGTAACTGAAGTATATACGAGACAGAGGAACTGGGACTCAAAGTCAAAAGTCCTCCTAATTTGTTGCTCTGTAAATGTAACATTAGAATTGAATGTTTTCAACTCTAATAGCCACTCTAGTTTCCACGACTTACCAATATAATACATTCATAGTTATAGGATTCATAGTATATTATATTTTAACACTAATAGCTGTATATTCATGGGATTCACAGCTCCATATATCACATGAATAAGGACGTACGGATGATTTTATTGTTAAGTAAGTTTATTTTGAAGTATTATATACCATCAGTCAATTAAGCTCCCAATAACTGATATTTTCTTTCCGGATGTTTGATTTAAATTTTAGTATCGAGATTTTATCGTTTAGGGTGTTTATTAGAGACACGGTCAACACCTTCTTTAGGACCGGGAAATAAAATTACAAGATTAAATTGGGTACAATTTTGGCAGGTAAATGAACTAAACGAACATAAACAAAGATATGTTTATGTTAGTTCGTTTAATTTTAATCGAATAAACGAACGAACATGGATAACTAAATAAACGGAATTTCTTGTTCATGTTCGTTCATTAAGAAATATAGTGTGTTCGTGTTCGTTCATGTTCGTTCGTTAAAATGATAAATGAACACAAATGAACGAACTTAAACGAACACAAATGAACATAATAGCAGTTGTTGATAATCAGATTAATTGATGTCACTTACCTTCTGAAGCAGTGAGAATATATTTTAGTAATCTGAACTATAATTTTATGATTAATCATGATAATTAAAAGAAAATTTGATGTTTGACAACTAAGGTTAAGTAATAAAAAATCTAATAATATACATAATTTCCCTCTATGGTAGGGAATATAGCCTGTTAATGTCCAAATATGCCGCCAAGAAAGCCATGTGAAGTGGAAAGCAAGAGCCACATGCAATTAGCAAATTAAATGAACCATGGTACTATAGATACACATTCCGTAACTGAATTCGCAACTCGAATTCCCCATTAATTGTGAATTGATTTTGACACGGCGACGAAGACGCTAGCTTTTTCATTTTCCACGATGTTTAGAAAGCAACGTGACATTAGCTCTGTTACGAATGGACAAACGAGGAGTCGGTGATTTTCGTTCAAAGTAAATTGTTTGTTGTTGAAAACCACCCGTCCTGTAGACTCTTCCGCGACTTCCACCAGCACTTTTTAAAGAATATTCCTCTCTTTCAAAACACCTTTTATTTCAATTCCTAATTATGTTTTCAATTATGGATTTCTAATAATAACTAATCAACAAAATAATTGCATTGGTTATTGTCGTTCATTGATTTGACGGTGGCATGGCACCATCAAAAACTTGTGGACGACTTTGAGGCCTATGAAAACAAATAATGCATCATTGGTGGATAGCTTAAATGAACCAAACGATGCTTGATTAATTAAGAAAAATAAATTATTAATCAGATGTTTGAATCTCTCTAAGTCCAAGCAACTCTCACACGTATGAATCAACTAATGGTGTGGCTTGCATCCCATCATTAAGACTTATCGGGAACATGGAATTTGTACACATCATGTGTTGCATTAATTACATGCTCCGAAAGTCAAGAAACCGACAAAGATTCCAATAGTATTTTTCTAAGTGGCGGTGTGGCAAAAGGAATTGTTTCTTTTTATATGAAAAGGAAATTAAAATGAATGTGAAACTTTAGACTCGCATTGATGATCAATATATAAAGACATAAAGTAAATTAAATGTTCAATTTTTCAAAAGGGTATTTTAGTTCAGTCCTTTTGAAAGTTCTTTTTGGAAAATAGACATAAATAAGTTTAAATTATCATCCTTTTGTTAGGTGATCCATCTTCCCCAAAATATGCCCAAAGTACATCCAATGGGTATAAAAGTGGGCAAAATTTACATTATAAAAAAATATAATAATATTGGGAAAGAGATGCTTGCCTTGTCCCAAAAGGTCAAATGGCTACCCAATGTTGTGTACACAATGAATCAATAAAAGCAAAACTTTGTCTTTGTTCCCCAAACTTCGGTGCTCATATGAAATTCCCCAACAAGAAGGGAACTAACAAGCTTGAAACTTAGCTCTGGGGCGGTTTTGGATTCTTCTTATATATTCTTTGCTTTCTACCTGTAAGGTTGGATTTTAGAGCCAAATATTAATGGAATTTCCAGATTTCTTTTTTTTATTATCAATTTTGATGAAAAAAAAAAACATAATAAAATAAAGCTAAAATGTGATTGGTTAATTTTAAAAATCAAAACGCCTTCGATTTCGTTTTATATATCCTATAGTCTCCTACACGGCCCAATATAATGTTAAATCATGTGTCTACCCCATAAAATGTCTTAAGATCTTTGTATTCGAACAGCGTCGAACAAAATAAATAAAGCATCAAAACAATTAATGCAATTGATTGATAGGAGCGAAGCTAAGAATTTTTTGGAAGACTTAAATCCCTTTTTTTAAAAAAATTTGCAGAGGACCCAAAGTACAATTATACCGTAATTTTACAATTTTTATAAAAAAAAATTACACACAAATTTTCATTTTGCGGAATCAAGATTCCTGTTAGCAGCCTGCTTGTTCCATGTTGATTGACTTGTATATATTTTGAGAAAATAAACAAGTGTATATCCAAAGAAATGAAAGGGGGAAAGAAGAATAGGAAGATATAGTTTTGAGCATGGGGTCGTTAATGTTGGTGAGAGTCGAAACATGTTGTGTTAGTGGAAAAGACAATGGCCGTATAACCAAAAGGCATGCCCATATCAATGGATGATGGAAAGTGGGAAAAGCTGTGGATATCAATCACTTATCTCCTACTATGAATTCCACCATTATATTTTAAGTGGAACTCGTGAGTTTTATCAATTAATAATACTCGAATGCATTTTTCATGAGACATTATCCAACAAAACAAATGGGATCATTATGAAATTCTAGATATAAAATGATCAAGCAACCCCATTTTTTTACCTTCCGATTCCCAAGGCTTCATCTTGGCTAATCCAAATCAACTCGGGTCAGGCGATCAATTTTGATAAATTTACTTGGTATCGATTCTCTTATGGCATGTAAGAGACGTAAGCAGCTTGATGGTACAATGTAGAAAGAATGGTGTGAAAGTGGGAGATTGTTGAAAGTCAAAGGATAAATCGGTGCATTAATGCACCGAATCCATTCGGTACAATGGTCAAAAGGCAGCATATTTTTGTTGAAAATGTGCAAGGTAAATTATCCAATTTAGTCCATGTACTTTAAGATATTTACAATATTAGTCCTTAAGCTTCAACTATAAATACCCTAACCCATTTAGCTTCAAAAACATCCCAAATCATTCTAACTTTCTCCCAATACTAGAGAATTTAGAGAGTTTTCTTGAGAGTTGTTTTCTCATTTTTATTAAGAGAGATTTGTTATTGTTTTCTCCTTGTTAGATCAAGAGAAGTTGTAATTCCTATTTTCTCATATTGAAATTCTTCTACCGTTGCCCGTGTTTTTCCCCCTATATTATTTAGGGGTTTTCCACGTAAAATTTGTGTCTTCTTTATCTTCATTTTTTTATTTTCTCAAATTATCAGTTGCGATTTTGCTCTATTCGATAGTCGTATTCCGCAACACAACAACACCCCAACGAAGAAGACAATCATTTGTAGAGAACCTCCCCAGGATTGCAAGCTACAAAATAAAAGCATGCTTTGGGACTTGGAGATGACACAACACTAGTCTATTCCAAGACACAACAACATTCTTAATACTAACCTCAGACCATATCCAGGAGGTGGTAACCTCACTCCAACCAACAATCGCACCAAGCACCACGAAAGACTCCTCCCTAGTTTTCGACATCGTCCTTTTGCACCAACTAAAATGGGGATTGGGGATAATCTGCCAGAACCCAACCCCTTTAAACACAAAAGCATGAAACCAAGCGACCCAGAGAGAACCTTGGCCAGCCAGAATGTCCTTTGCAAGAGAGAAAAGATAGCCCTTGCTCCAGGTTTTAAGATCCCTCAAACCAAGTCTCCCCTCAAATTTAGGGGAGCAAGTTCTCTCCCAACTAAACCTTAACACATGTTGCAGAAGAGTCAGAAGGTACCCAACACAAAGTTGCTCAATGTGCTTAATGATGGACTGAGGTAGAATGAGCTGCCTACATCAAAAGTTCACAACATTAAAAAAAACAACCCTAATGAGTTGTAAACTACTAGTAAAACTAAAATTACGATTACTCAAATGCCCTAGCCTGACCTTAACTTTTCAATAAGAGGGTAACAATCCTTTTTAGAGAGTTTCCTAGTTACCAAAGGGGCCCCAACGTAACGAGCAGGCAGATGACCTAACTTGAACCCCAAAAGACTCTGAATTACAGCAAGAGAATTAACACTTACCCCAGAAGCAAAGAACTCACTCTTAGCAACATTAATCTTCAAACCATACCACACATAAAAATTCTTCAAAATGCACTTAACCCCAATAATCGAATCCAATAAACCCTTACAGAAGATAAGGAGATCATCAACAAAACTGAGATTAGTTAAGCTAACTTTCTTACATTTGGGATAAAACTGAAAAAAGTTTCTTGCAGCAGCCAAATCCAGAAGCTTAGAAAGAACGTTCATGACCAAGACAAAAAGGTAAGGGAACAAGGGATCCCCTTGCCTTATCCCCTGCCACCTTTGAAAAAGGCAACCAAAGTGCCATTAATAAAAATAGAAAACCTGGAAGTGGTCAGACAAGCCTCAATCTTACCCCTAAACTTCTCAGAAAGTCCAAGATATTTTAACAACGCCATAATGAAATCTCAACTCAGAGTATCAAATGCTTTCTGAAGATCAATTTTCAGGGCACAATAAGGAGAAAAGGACTTCCTAGCGTACCCCTTAACTAACTCTTGAGCCAGAAGAGTATTATCAATGATGCTCCTCCCCTTAACAAAAGCAGACTGATTTGGGGCAACTATACTAGGGAATAAAGGAGTCAATATATCCACCAAAAATACGAGCAACAACCTTATACACCAACGAACAACGAGAAATGGGGCGAAAGTTTTTCGCCATACAAGGATTAGACACCTTAGGAATAAGGACCAATGCAATGGCATTAAAAGAAGACAACACGTAGGATGAGGAGAAAAAGTATTGCACGCCCTTGATGAAATCTTCCCCAACCACATCTCGTAGCCTTGAAAAACAGAGTTGTATAACAATCAGGCCTAGGAGATTTATCACAACCCTAGCTAAAAATAGCATTTGTTTATTTCACTTTCTTCGCCCTTTTCATAGTATTCCACTTGCCACAATCTAAACCTCAACATCTCATCTCAACTAATTAAAATTGGACAACAATCCTTATTCTTCTCATCTTAGACACCGTAATAAACTCAAAAGGCAAAACAAAATGTCGGGTTATTTTCGAGGCAGGCAAGCAAAAGGAAAGGAAAGGGTATGTTCCGTATGATAAGAGAGGTAGAGATGAATATTTGATCGAATTCAATCGAATCAAATCAAACATTTTAAATTAAACGAATTAATAAAGTAAATTTATCACACGATTTAAAAAAAATTAATCGATTAAAATCAATTTTCAGATAAAATCAAATTTTAAATTTTCCATATTATGGGCACAACAGCTTCAACTTTGAGCTCAAATTTTATTGGGTGTGGGGAGAGAAAGAGAGGATGTGATAGGCATAGACAAATTGTTTTCGATTTTTTACTAAATTTGGGCAAAGTCAATTTATCCATATTTAGGATAGTTTTGAATAGGTGTCAACCTTGGAATGGTAAGTTCTGACCTTTTCGTGACAAATAATAATAATAAATGTCTTACATGGTTTATTACTTGATCATTTTCCTTACCAAATTATTGACATGAAATGGAACATTCAAGGTACATGTCTAAGGGTCTATCATCTGATCCTTTTGGTGGGGGGCTAACTAGTACACGTGTCGCCAATGGCAAAAAGATTCTTTTGCGAGTGATGTACAAATTATGAGAGATTATAATTTAATTTTTATTATTTATAATTTTTATTTTGATATTTATTTGTTTCTGTTTTAGTTAATTCTGATCACCAATTGGGCGTTTATATTAAAAACCCCCGATGATTTTTTTTTTGTTGAAAAATAACCCTCTTAACATATTTATTAGAAAATACATTCAAACTTATATGTAAGATGACCTCGGGCTAGACCTCATTTTTTGTAAAAAAAATGAGTTTTATGCATTTATTATTGTCTTTATTCAATATTAAATGAATTTATCTGAAAAAGTTAATGTCACCCTATAAAACACGATGTCCATTAAACGTATTTTATATGACGTGAGATAATCTTACTTTGACAATTTGGGAATATTTTTCTAACAAATCTGTTAAGGGACTGTTCAAAAAAATAATTTATGGGATTTTTTTTACATAATAATGCCCACTAATTGTCCAAAAAAATTAATTACTTTTTAATGAGAATGCTAAATAAATTCTTTTAACTAAAATCTCATATTATGTCTTTGATTTTTAAAGAATTTTAAACTTAAAAATTTGATCTCTATTTTATTATATAATTAATGTATTTATCGTTATCTTTTAACATGTAATGTGAGAAGGCAGGGAACAAAGAGACTTTTACTTGTTAAGTAATAAATTGGCCTTTAATTGAGAAATTAAGTTTAACATTAATTGTTTAAAGTTTAATTTGAATTTAATCGAATATTATTTTTAAAATTTAAATATAGATTAAAACAAAACAAATTTAAGTTATCCAGATTTGAATAATTTTATTATATATGATTTAAATACCCATAACTCGAGTTTGAGTTCTATCTAATTTGTTATAATTTTTTTTTGGGTAATATAATAATTTATTATCAAAATATTAACAATACGTTCATAAATAATAAGTTCGAGTTTGTTTTGTTCGAAAGCCAAACTTGTATGATTTGTAGGTATGTGTATTTCATTTATACTCGTACTTATATATATTGAATAAATTTAGTAAAACTAAAATTTTGTGTATCAGTATTATTTTTTAATTTTAACGATAAAATATAATATGAATTTTAATCTTAATTATTTACTTAATAATTATATTTTTAATATAAAACAATGAATTTTACAGATGTAAGTAAATTTTATTCCTACGTATAAATGTTTCCTTTGTGAAGAACATTGACGTTGAATGGGGGTGGTCGAGGTTACACATAAAATGCGTCCTGCACCCACTAACTTCTCCACCTATTGTCTTTATTTTTGTAGACTCTATACACTCAAAATTTTAGTATCCAGCACTTTACTTCTTTTTTGGTTTTTTATTTTATTTTCATTTATTATGAATCATCATCTTCTTTCCCTATATCTATTACCATGCACCATAGAATTTTGTTGTTTTCTTTCAAAGTATAATGGTAGTCGGTACACTGAATTTCATATAGGTGGCTGACTAGAGCCCAGGATGTGTCTAAATTTAATTGGTAATCTCATATTGAAAAAAAAAGTATTGATGTAACACCCTTAATCTGTATATGTCTTGTAATACTAACTAAAGATGTTACATAAATTCAACTGACATTTGCTGAACTTAAATGCTTAAAAATTTTGTTTCATTTAATAATTTATTTTTTAACTTTAAAGAGTTTTTACTTAATCATATAAATTTATTGTTTGGTCATTGAAACTAATCCGATTTCAATCGGTAATTAGGTAGTTCAATGTTGTTTCATATCTATATACAATTGTATAATACCGCTTGATTTTAAATAATTTAAAATATAACATTTATACTATTCACTCATAAATATGATTAATACTAAAATTAGACAAAACTAAAGAAAATAATCCCTAATTACCATTACAAACCCTTTTAAAATACTGATAAAGCAACTCAACATATATAATATTCATGCCACTAATAAGTCAAAATTAGGATGTCATACTGATACTGTCGGTAGATTTGATTTTTCATAAGATGCTGGCAAACTCCTCACTTCACGTCCACTACTTTATTGGAACCTACGCATGAAAATCATCACGTGCTAAGTAAAACTTAGTGAGACATAAATATAACTAAAACATAAAATCCATAAAATATAAACAATAAACTGAAAATTTAAATAAAAAACAATTAAAACTTCAAACCGGGCTAGTCAGACCGTTTACCTTCTAAAAACCTGGAAATCATCATCCCATGATTTTATCAAAAATCATGTAAGTCATCATTAAATATCATAAATAACTTTTTTTCTTTTCATTCGAACATATTTCATAACTTTCTTTTCAATATGTTCTTTTCTTTTATATATTGTCATAATTTTCACACTTATTGTTATAGCCCAATGTATATGTAAGAGAATACAAGGTACTTGAGTATAAGGTGCACACTAGGCACAACACGGTGTCGAATTATAACTGCGATATGATGCACTTCAGTGCAATCATAACATGAGCACCAACGGTGCTGAACATTGGTACACGAATGTACCAAAGCTTAACTGATAACTGATAAACACCCACTTAATGGCATGTCAAATATACTTACGACTCTCAATGCAACATACAATGGGCTTATATTTATCGTATTAGAATCATTTATTAATCTACGTCTGATAACTGTAAACATCTGATAACTGAAAATCATCTGATAACTGTAAATATATGATAACTAAAAATCATCTGATAACTGTAATTATCATACTTGGGCAGTTCATACCCAAAATCATTCATAAAACTTGATGAAAAAATATTATAGAAATATTTCATACTAAAAATTTATAAATCATACTGGAAAATAAAATGAGATTGACTTATCGCAAGTCGTCCTCGATCAGAGTAATTAAATAAATAAACGAAACTAATTTGAATAGTTTACTTATAAATCAAATATAAGCCTCACTAAGCTTTAAAAATTGCTTCCAGTATACAATTTATTAAAATTTAATATTTTGGCAGTTTGCCTTATCTTCAAAGAAATATTATTATGTATTAATTTATATATTTAAAAATTATTTTGTTTATACCACTGAAAACTAGACTCGAATATGGATCTAACCATATAAGTCAATCCGTCTAGTTCCACTTGTACAATTTATAACGAATTTTCAAAGTTTACTGACAGAAGTTGTTTTAAACAAAATCTACTGCCCTATTTTCTTACCTATCACTTATTAAAAATTTATATATTTTTGTATACTTTTCAAAATCAGTTTCCGTTTGTTCTAAAAGAAACAAGACTGATATAATAATCCAATGGTATAAGATTCATCCTCTAATAATTTTTGTAGAATTTCTGATGATTTTCTAAACTTACTGTTCAAAACATAATTTCTAGGCAAATTTTACCAACTAGTGTCATTGACTTATTCACTAGTTCTATTAGCTTACTAAATAAACATATAAACTTAAATCACACTTCACATAATACTAGGAGTCACTTCTTAACGTAACTCCGACACTGGTTCATCGCAAGCCAATGTTTGGTCGAAACATATATACAAATGAAATGCACTCACTTTTGCCTCGCCATCAAATCTTCTCCACGATAATCTTCTCAATTTGGCACTTTTTCTTCCCTTTCAAGCCACTTGAATCACTAAATTTACCGTGGACTGACGATATCATATAATAATATAGAATATTCAAAATATTCGTTTGTATCAAACTAATATAATCTAAATTTAAATATAAAATTCGATAAAAATAAATCCAATACTTAAATTGATATAAAACTAAATCGTACTTTCATCGTAATTTCAAACTTCTCGAAATATTCCTTAAATTCCATGAATATTTCGTTTCGCTAT